CCGGAGGTGACCACATGGCACAGCAGACCTCTCCTGACCTGCCCGCTGCTCCCCTCAGCAGGGGATCTGCCTGTTCTGCTCCCCACTCTGTCCCTGGTGAATCTCTCACCCTCCGCATCTCTGTATGAATAAATAAATAAATCTTAAAAAAAAAAAGCAGACCAATCAAAAACTCAAATTCTAAATATAAACATGCAGCCTCTGATCTGTGTACTTTTTCTATGCTTAAGACCACACATTACATTTTATTGTGCCCTCTCATGACTTACAAATGTATACATAGGTAAATAGTGAGTTAAAAAAAAATCTATGTAGCTATATGCTCAGTTTGATAATTTACATAATTTTAGGAGGCTAACAAAATTTTGTGATAAAGCTGCACAAAAGGCTGTGGAAGATGTAATTATGTAACACCGAAGGCTAGAACATGCCTAGTAACAGAGAAGCAAAGTTCCAACACTTCATTTTTGGGACAAGTAAATTTCTTTTTTATCTTCAAGATGACTTCTGAGTCTTACCACCGCATGAGTAGCAAGCTCGCAGGTGGAAAATGCCTCCAGTAAGGGCACATTTACTCATTACATGTCAGGTACTGTACTGGAGATAAAAAACAATTTGAATTCCTGCTTGAGGAGCAGCATCCAGTTCAGGAAGCAGTCCAGGCAAGAAAAGGAAGCCAGCTGCACTGGGCCACCACAGAAGTCACAGTGCTTAGGTAGGAGGAGGAGAGAGGCAGGGGCAAAGTCCAGGGAGGTGGGGGAAGCATCAGTTTGTTCCTTTTCGCACTGGTTGCTGACAAGGAACATCCCTGGGCACCAGCACATTGAGGAGCTGAACACAAAGCTGGCATGAAGATGAGAGGGCAGTGTTTTCAGGAAACAAGGGTAAATCTGTAGTGAAGCTTAGGGAGTTCAAAGAGGAATGGAGGCTAAGGCCAGCGGTACTATTATTAATAGCGTGAAACCCCACGACTCTCAGGAGAATGGGAACACAATGCAAACTTGGCATCGTGGACAACAACAACTTGGGAGCAAGAAAACCAGATTTCAACTCTGTGCCCAAGGGCTAGCTGGGTAGTAAAGTGCCCCAGTCGTTAAGCAGAAGTGGCTGGCAACGAAACTGCTTCTAGACACAACATGCACCAGCTCCACATCCTCTGTGATGACCATGGCAATACTGTCTTTTTAAAGTTCCTACTTCATTTAGGCAACCAGATTAAACTGAAACTTCACAAATTGAAAAAAATAAAGGAGTGCTAAGACTGAGGGTTTTTTCTTCTCAGAGTCTAAGTGCTTTGTCGGGGACATTCAGTAAGTTTTGCTATTGCATAAAAAGGAGGAGTGCACGAGGTCCTTTTATCCAGACAGGATTCCGAGGCTGCATGGCACTTAGAGGGACTTTAAAGACATTTACGGGCTCTCCCTGGTGGTGCTACGGGTTATCAGCAGCCACCAAAGCATCCCTGGCCAGGGAGCGGACCTCTCCTGACCCACCTTCTGCTCCCCTCAGCAGTGTGCATCATCAGTCTGCCTGTTCTGCTCCCCACTCTGTCTCTGGTGAATCCTCTCACCCTCCGCACCTCTGGCCTGTACCCCAGTTCTTGTATGCGTAAATAAGTAAAACTTTTTTAAAAAGCCGTTTACAAACACGTGCACCAAAACATCATCAACACCCTCTTTCTTCACTTAACGGGAGAGAATGAGCACAGATGGCAAAATGCCAGAGAGAGGGCGGGCGCCCGGGGTTCCAGGCTCTCGATACTGGTTCCCAAGTCGCCGTCAGGAATACATCGTCCATCCTGGCCGGGCTGTGTACGGCTCTCGGGGCAGAGGGTGCCGTGCCTCCAAGATCCTCAAGGTCCTTACGCGGTGCGAAATGAAAAACGCCCCTGCCAGATTTTTCTCGGCTCTTAACGAGGAACACGATCGTTTCATTTTAAACCAATATGGAGCAGCGAACACAGGTCTGCAACGTCCTGTCCATGACCAGTGTGACTCGGAGTGCCCGAGTCCGATCCCAGCCACGCTACCCCGACTGCCTGTGCCACCTTGCCACGAGTAGGGGCGGACCACCTCTTCGCGGGGGTCTCACACCCCGGAGTGAGGACGCTCGGGAAACGCCACTTTCGCCGAGACTCCGCCTTCCGGCCCCCGGCCGAGCGGGGCCCGCACCCTCCGCAGAGTGAGGTGGGGAGGTGGGAGGCGCCCCGCGGGGGGCGGGGTGGCCACAGCGCCCACTAGGGCTGGGGAGGTGAGGAGGCTGCGGGCGGGGACGGCGGGAGTCGGCGCGCGCCCCAGCCGGAAGGCCCCGTCACCCGGTCCCGCGCCGTCGCCTCACCTGCATGTTAGGGACGAAGCCCTTCTTGATTCTCCAGCAGTTTTTATTGATCTTTTCCAAGAACTGCAGCTCATCGTTATAGTTGCGGCTCATGGCTGCGGTAACAGTGACGGAAGCTCCAGGCCCGGCTTAGCTGAGCGGCCACCACGTCCTCCCCGCGCCGCCCACCACTCCTTCCGGGACCAATGCGCAGGCGCAGCGGCGCCGCGGACGCAAGCGACGGCAAGCGCCGAGGCTCGAAACTCATCACAGGACTCGCCGTTCTCGCGTTAAGTTAGACTGCGCTCTCGGGTTTACCTTTTCGGCATTCGCAGGTGGTTCTCTTCCAGGCTGTAGGTATATTAAATCTGGTGGTTTCCGTGAGATCTACTCTTCGTTTGGGAAGTGCTTTTTGGCACTGAAAAATATACGGAAACTGGGTCAATGTCGACTGCTCTAATGAATGCAAATGCTTAGAGATTACACCCACAACAGGGAGGGGAAAAAGATTTTTGTAGGCGAGGAAAAAAAATGAGTCAGTACTACAACTGAAAACTTATAATGGTTGAGAATGAGTTCTTGGATACACATTAAATAATTTTCAGAAAACAACAGCGCAAAGAATGAAACAGCAGTTTCTCATTTTATAACGAATATTTATGGGTGGTACTATATATAGCCAGTGTTCCGATGAGGAGTAAATCTCAGTGCCTGAGGGTAGCGAGGGCTTCCCCAGTGCACCCTTCTTTAATGTCTATACTCTGTGATCACGCATTTATATGTGGTGGCTCTTGTTCATAATAGTAAGTGAGATCTAAGTGATTCCAACTTCTAATTTTGCCTTACGTCAAGAACAGTGACTTCGGAATCCATAGGTCTAGGATTCAGGGTCTACCTCTCTGTCCCCCAGTACTGACTGATTAATGTCGCCAACACTTTATCTCCTCTATAAAATGGGATCATTAATCTTTCCAGAGGGGCTGTGAGGATTAAGTGAAATGGCACTCAAGAAGTCATCCGGCCAGTGCTTAGAGCATCATAATCACTCCGCTAAATGGCTCTCTTCCCCCCTCCACTAAGTTTAAGTGCCACAAAAACAAAGCTATGATTTCTGCATATTTCTTAATTCTCCATGTCAACTCCCCATTCCTCCTCTTGTACCCCAATTTCACTGCATTAATTAGGTGTTCTAACATTAGTCATCATCAGCTATGACTTGTGCAGGGTAAGTGATCTGCCACTTCAGTTCATTTAGGCGAGAAAACATCCTAAGATTTAAAGAAGGGACACAACTTGCAGTTTCCTGCCATCACCGTTACTCACTGGAAACATCTAAGAGGTCATCCTTTTACATCAAACCTTGAAATCTCAGTTTTTGTCAACAATGAAGATACTAAATTCTTTCCTTATCATTCACATATATTCAAGGATGGGACATTTTGCAAATAAAAAGACAAGGGTCACATTGATAGAAAACAATTTAATTAAATACAGGAGATAGTTACAGTAAATACAAAATAAAATCTAATATGCGGGATGAGGAAAATCCCGCAGAGCTGAGAGGATTAAATAGGTCACGGAAAACAAGTGGTGCAAATCTGTACGTCAACATATTTCTCACTGGAAATACATGTCTAGCTCTTGGCCCCAGAATCTTATAAACATTAGAACATGTAACATGCATTCAAACATGACTGCAGTCAATCACACACACACACACCTTGGAGAGACACCCACACATACACCCCAGCTTAGCTCTTTCAACTAGCTTGCCTCTTTCTACATCCTAGAGGGCTTACGAAAGAAAACTGCCAGCATCACGCAATTCACCATGATGTTAAAATTCCAATGTGCATTGTTTTCCCTCTCTGTGTTTACAGTAGCTGTGGGCTTAAGGCCCATTTATATCATGCAATTCACCATGACTTTAAAATTCCATTGTGCATTGTCTACCCTCTCTGTGTTTTCAGTAGCTGTGGGCTTAAGGCCCGTTTACTTCCTGGAGTGGACTCCACACAGGCTATCATGCGGCAGGTTTCCCTCTCCACTGCCAGTTTCTTGGGTCCAGACCTTCCCAACCATAGAAACCAGGCTGCTGCTTGGAGGATGTTTCAGATTTCAGGTCCGTAGAAATCAATAGGAAACCCTGAAAAGAATACAATGATAAAGATAATGTCGGCTGGGCTTTGCGGCCACAGGAGGGACACAAGGTTTCTTTACCAAGTTCTGTGGTGTTACCCACGCCGCTGCCCTGCACCCCCTGTGAGTCTCTGAGTCACAGGAAGAGCCATTTTGGATTGCTGTCTATTGCTGTAGAGGGAAGACTGGCAGGGGAGACCAAGTACAGGGTGGAGAAATCAGCCAGTCTTCTTTCCGGCTCCCCAGAGGAGTCTCCCAAAGGAAGACAAGAGGTGTTTAGAAGTTTGTTGATAAGAAATAACCAGGAAGCAGCTTGCAACAGATCCCAGAACCTAGAAGAGGGGTTTTGGTTCCAGCAAATGTTTGTGAACAATTTTTTTTTGCAGGAAGAAGCCCAGAGGATTGTCAGTCATTAAACTGTGTCTACATCACAGAGAAGTAGCCCCAGGATACGATTCAATTCAATTCAATTCTGAGTCTCTCAACAGGGCCCTCCCTGGGGGCCCAAAGCACAGCTCTAGGAAGCTGTCGGAAGCCACTGCTGCAGCAGTTCCATCCCCAGCCAGGGAGGTGACCCGCTTGGCGCAGCAGACTGCTTCTGTCTCGCTTGCTTCTCTGCTCAGCAGTGTACTTTGTCAGTCGGCCTGTTCTACTCTCCCTCTGTCTCTGGTGAATCCTTTCACCACCCCTGCACCTCTGGCCAGTACCCCAGCTCTGTATGTATAAATAAACTCCTTTTTTTAAAAAAAAAAGTTAGCAAATTAGGAAGAGGCCAATCCCATAATGATGAGAAATGGTTGGTTAAGAGGTGATTTGCATTCTTACCTTGAAAACTTCAATATCTGAATTGACCAATGAGAGATTATGCGGGTTGGGCAGAGGAAATCCTTGCTGCAATTTTGCTAAAATATAAAAGAAGATGTAAAGCAATTGGACATAGGCCCAGGCATCTTAGCAAACAGTAAGAGACTAGCAAGCAGCTTTTTTTCTTTTTTTTTTTTTGCAAGCAGCTTTTTAATAATTTAGCTTTTCATTCTCTCAACTTCTCTGTTTATATTCCCTCTGATTATGTCACTGGCATATTTCTGGAAAAAGCATTAATGAATCTGTGTTTAGTGAAAATGCACCTGCATTTAAGTATATTTGGATGGCAGAAAAATATTGGCAATTTTTCTGATTTATATTTTGCAAAGTATCTTATTTAGTGGATCCTGAGAACATCTTGGACTCTAAAATACAAGGTATTTTAGCCAAGCTGAATTCAAGACCCTGCAGTGTGTAAACAACTACAGAGGAGGAAGATGCTATTCAGAGTTGCTCAACAGCTACAAAAATGTTACCTGTCCACTATTCTATATGGAATCTGAATGCGGGTGGCAATAACCTCACACTGGTTCCTTCACAAATGATCTATTTTAGATGCATTAACTCTAAGGATTTCTTTGTTTGCTTCTAATTTTATTCAGCTCAGATCCTACTCTAAGGGGCAATCTGGATTACTTTTAATAAGTGGTCGCTGAATATATTTATTTACGGTAGCTATCTTATTGCCTTCAAAGACATGTAATGTCCTAGAAGCAGTTAGTGACTGGGGTTAAGTGGCCTGTCCAATGAATTCAAGACCGATGGCTGACTCTACTCTACCCCAATCTCACTCATCTGATTTCTTCCACAGAATGCTTTACCTTCCTGGCCTGGGGTTGTTTGTTCTTGCAAACTCAGAGGCAGATGCTTCAGAACATCAATTTTCACAGTGACTTTATGCCTGCAATCTAACACTTGGTTTTGATTTCTCCTACTTTTTTATTTAATTGGACTTTTTATTCCATTTCTTTAAAAAAATCAAAGTAATTTCCCACTGTCTTTGACATATGGTTTGCATTGACGTCCAGGCTCTCACGTGATACACTGTAGACTCTCAAAAAACAACCACCAAAAAAATGTGCCTAGGGCCCTCCCTTGTGGATCAACAGGTTAAAGCGCAGCACTACAAAGCGATCCACAGCCACAGCAGCACGACTTATAGTCCTAGGGAGGTGACCCACATGGCAGACCTCTCCTGACACCCCCCAGCTGCTCCCCTCAGCAGTGTACTTTGTAGATCTGCCTGTTCTGCTCCCCACTCTATCTCTGGTGAATCCTCTCACCGCCCCTACACCTCTGGCTTGTACCCTAGTTCTGTGTGCATAAATAAATAAATCTAAAAAAAAATTGTGTCGTGCCTATGGGCCACAGATATCTCCTTGGGAGAATCATTTCATTTTCAGCCCACCTGAAGGAGACACTTGATGCCAGCATTAAGGGCTTCCTATTTTTTTAATTCAACTGGTGTCTGCCAGTACTCCCTGATGTGGATACGACCCAGAATAACTCATTTCTCAACCCTATCACTGATGATACATACTATTGAGGTAAATTCTGGGTAAAACCAGTCTGGGTTCATAATAACACTCCAGAAGTACAAGTCTATGGGCGAAGAGTCCCAAGCAATCTCCAATGTGTAGCCGATATCAGAGTCACATCGTTTGCCGAGAATCTCTTACCGTTGGCCAGTGGGAGGACACCAAAGTGGAGAATGGAGGACAGAACATTTTCAAACCTCAAGACCTAAAGTGAAAGGAAAAACTACATCAGTTGCCCGGACAGGGCCTTTTGATAGGCCCATGCCTGGTGGACATGCTCTTCCTCAGACCTATGCAGGACAAGGAGCAATAACTGGAATCTCTCCACAGAGATATTTTAACCATCCAGCCATTCTGTGGGAAGCCATATAATGGCATTTCTCAAACTTTTGTTCTTGAGAAGGGACATTTCTGCTCCCCTCAACTCCAGATCATGGTGACGACACATCTTAGAGACGCCTTGCTGGCAGCAACATGGTAGCTTAGAGCTGTGCCTAGTATATGACAATGTAGAATGATGGATGGATTTCCCAGTTCACAGCCTTCTCTTGCTTCCCTGGGAACCCCAGTGACAGGTGTTCCTTCACATCCTGTCACGCTCCGTAGCCAGACAATCCCCTACGTGTAGCCAATATCAGAGTCTCATTGTTTTCTGAGAACCTCTTACTGTTGGCAAATGGAGGAACATCATATTTTTGTCTTTAACAAATGATGGAGGCTTTATATCTCTGAGAGTGTTGGTTTTGGGGAAGCTGCAGGCATTAAGAATAAATGGATAGGGCCCTCCCTGGTGGCGCAGCGGGCTAAGGCATAGGACTGCAAGCTGACCGCATCTGCCTCAGTGCAAGTTCGATCCTGGGCCCCGCAGGGACCCACATGGCGTGGCAGACCTTTCCTGACCCACCCGCTGCTCCCCTCAGCGGTGTACTTCGTAGATCTGCCTGTTCTGCTCCCCACTCTGTCTCTGGTGAAGCCTCTCACTGCCCCTGAGCCTCTGGCCTGTATCCCAGTTCTGTATGCACAAATAAATAAATCTTTAAAAAAAAAAGAATAAATGGATAGAGGACTATCAAGGGGTCTTTGCCTCACCATCAAATGACTCACTCAGTGAGTCTTTGTTGAGCATTCTGTATGATTAGTGATGAAAAGAACCTCTCTGCAGCTTTACCTTGATCAAATTTTAGGTGATGGGTAGAAAACCCAGTCAGGGACTAATAATTTACATCTAGCCTCTTCTTCCAGGAGTCACCATCTTAGATAACTATGTAGCATTTACATAACTATATAGCATTTTTCTATCCAATAATGAAATCTCCATGTACATTTCAGGTTTTCCCCTTTTGAGTTCTTTGAAAAGGTCTTATGCATAACTAAAGGTTAACTGGAGAGGCCCTCTCTTATTTAACAGCTAATGGGCTTGGTGGATGAGTAGCTACCTATAGATTATAGTTAAAACTTATACTGCCAGGGAAACCAAGTGCCCAGAGACAGAGCAAAGAATCATTCATCCAGCCACTGTGTGGGAGAAACCTCCCTCCACCCTGGACAGGGGATTCTGCTGGCTGTTTCCTACCTCAACATTACTGTGATTGGACTCTGGCAAAGACAGGCGGAACCTGAAAGAAACAAACAGCAAAAACAAACAGGAAAAGGTTAATGGAGGGTAGAGTTCAAAACAACCCTCTCGGTACAAAGAGACAAAAAAAAAAGGGGCTTTTTATTTTTTTAGTTCAGTGGATCACTCTTAAACACAAACACTGTATGAACATAATGTTCTATGGTCTCCAACCTTTATGTTTGCTGCTTAAGAAGCAAGACAGGAATAGCAGAAGGCTTGGGTTTGTAACTTAAAAGTGCTCCCTACATGTATTTACTACATGGGGCTTACAGTTGACAGCTTGGGGTGCAGGACAATCTTAACGTTTCATGTCTTCCTGCTCTGACCTTAATCTTGGAACTTCCGTGTGCCAGGTTGCTCCCTTATTAATAGATGACTATACTGCTGACAGTGGTGACAGTGACAGTGATGACAGTGGATGGCACGTATGGTTCTAGGAGCTTTATAAGCATTTTACAGTTTAACGTTCCCAATGATGCTGTGATAGGTGGATAGGTGCTATTGTTATTTCCTTTTTTGCAGATGAGGAAATGGATGATCAGAGAGGGCAACTGAATTACTCAAGTCAGGGAGTCAGCAGCTGAGAGATGCAGGTGACATATCTCACTTTACCTGATCCTACAATCATGTCCAGGCCACATCTCTCAGAAGCTGTACTGTGCAGATTATTGCTTCTGAAGGCTAACACATCAGGGAACGTTAGTTCCAGCAGCCATCTGACATGAAAGGCAGCTTAATTGTGAAGAGTAGGGGATCAGCTGAATGCCTGAGTCTGAGTTTCATTTCTGCTTCTTGCTAACCATGTAGACTTACTTAATCTCCCTGGATCTTAGATTTCTCATCTATATAATACAAAAATATGAATAAGCCATGAAATCCAGGCTAAGTGGCTACATTGACCTTAGACGCTAGGAGCCTAAAGGAGGGGATAAACTTAATTTAGCTCTCTGTTTGGAGCTTGCATTTAAGATGTCGTTTACCTGAAGCAGCCTGAACAAGCAGAAACAGAGACACTTGCGCCCCCAGGTGGCTGGAGACTGAGAGCATAGAGGTGGAGAGGGCGACTGAGAGGCAGACATGCAACTACTAACAGAAACTCAAAACTCCAGGTATCTGAGGAAAAGCCTCTTCATACTTTTCCCTGCATGAACTGCCTTGGGACTAGACCATCAACTTGAGTCATTAACCCGTAACCCTAACAGTTCTTAACCCTAACCCGTTTTCAGCCCATACCTGCCAGCACCTCCGTCCTCAAGTCTGGCCCCCCAAATCTATGTAAGCTCATTTCCTTTCTATCTGAGTCATCTCCTATCTTCTTGCCAGTCAATTAAAAAATAAATCTGATTTCTTTTATCAAATATCTGTTATCACCTGATCCATGCATGTTGGAGAGAGACCCCACAGATCATTTAACACCATGAACTAGATTATCCTTTCCTCCTAAGGTTGTCTTCATTCTGTTCCTTCCCTAGTTCTCTGGCCATAGTTGGAAGGATAATTTACTCAAGGACAAGACTCAATAAATGAAGAGAAACCGGTAGAACAAACTTCCTGCCTTGGTTCTGAAAAACTCGCAAGCTCAACTTCGACCACTAAGTGGCGCCCGAGTTCGGTCCTTTGACTTGATGCTCTATCAGGCTCTCTAACCTGTTACTAAAGAGCCACCCCGACCAGGAAGGAAGCCACAGAGTGTTTGGGAGAGAAAAGCAGCTCAAATAGCCTCGCCGCTGTATAAAGGTATAGCTTATCTTACAAGTTTTCGAGAAAGATTATTGCCCGAACGAACACCAGAGATAAAGTGCGAATTCCTGAGTGGCAAAAGGGCCAATATTCCAAGTAGGACGTAATGAGGGTCAAGTGGCCCCGTGGCCATGGCAGACATCAAAAATAAATCCCACATGAGGAATTCATCATCACAGTTGCTTACCTCTTTGCTCCTGACTATGAAATTCTTGAGGGAAGAGATCTAGTCCTAGCAGCTTTCATTCCCAAGATTGTGTCTGTTTGCTCCTTGACCTCGCCAGTGGACATTTATTGAACACCTAATATATGTATCCTTGAGAGGTGCTGGAGAGTCAGACACAGCCAGGTTCTCACAGAGCTTAGAAACGAGTGGGTAAGCAGACACTATTAAAATAACCTCACTGGCCCTCCCTGGTGGCGCAGCGGGCTAAGGCATAGGACTGCAAGCTGACCGCATCTGCCTCAGTGCAAGTTCGATCCTGGGCCCCGCAGGGACCCACATGGCACAGCAGACCTCTCCTGACCCACCCGCTGCTCCCCTCAGCAGTGTACTTCATCTGTTGGCCTGTTCTGCTCCCCACTCTGTCTCTGGTGAAGCCTCTCACTGCCCCTGCACCTCTGGCCTGTACCCCAGTTCTGTATGCATAAATAAACAAATCCTTTAAAAAAGAGGGGAGGAGTAGGAAGCGGTCGAGGTGATGGTCACAAAGTCCTCAAGGAGGAACAGAGAGCTCGTGAGAGAGCACAGAGGATGATGCCAGAGGCAGATGGTGGGTGAGCAGCCTGAGTTTCTCGGGCCACATGAGAATTTTGATACTTGTCCTAACTGCAAGAGCTCTGTGGCAGTTTCCCAAGAAGAAAGAGGGTGTGTGTGTGTGTGTGTGTGTGTGTGTGTGTTAACAAAACTGGGAGGTACAGGCCAGAGGAGCTGGAGCAGTGAGAGGATCCACCAGAGACAGAGTGGGGAGCAGAACAGGCAGCTCAACAGAGAACACTGCTGAGGGGAGCAGCGGGTGAGTCAGGAGAGGTCTGCCGCGCCATGTGGGTCACCTCTGGGGTGGGGATCGAACTTGCACTGAAGCTGCCACTGCTTGGCTTAGCTTCGCAGTGCAGCGCTCCAACCCGCTGCGCCACCGGGGAGGGCCTGAGGACATCTGTGCTTTATAAGATCATTCCGGCAACAGTGTGGACCCCAAGAAGGTGCCTCTTCTATGCTCAGCAAGTGCCATCCCGGTGAAGACCTTTATAGCTGTTTATATTTATGAAGCATGGAGAAGTTGTACGTACAGGAAGGGAGCAGTGAACACTGCTCAGCAGGTACACCGAGCGTGCTCCTCTGTGGGCTTATACAGTGCCCTAACTTGCTGCAGGAATCCCGAGAAGGTGTGGAGGTGAAGGAGCCAGTGTGAGTTGAAGGGGTGTTTGTGTGTGTCTTGGGGGGAAAGAAATTGCCTTGGAGAGCAGCACCCTAGCACGCCTGTCCCCAGCGCCTAGTACCGTAACTGCTTCTGAATCTGAATCTGTGGTCCTGAAGGTTGAAATCTGAGCAAGAGCAGTGCGGTGCGGATGCTCATCCCATCCTCACGGGCTGGATACACGCATGAACATGCAGATAAGGGAGGTGGGTTGGGGAGTTTGTCAGAATTGGGGTTTCTTTGGAGGTTTGCCAGCCTAAAGCAGAATATTCATTTTAGGGAGCCATGGCAGGTAAGGTTGGCTGCTTGAAAGACAGGACCAGCAGATAAAGGGTTTGGAGACCCCCAGTTGTGGGCAGAATCCAAGGAAGAAAGATTTCAAGGGCAGGATATGTGGAGCACATTCCAGTATAAAAGGATTCTCCTGTGAGGAAGAATTTCCCAGTGGCTTGGCCACTTTGCCTTGGGAATCTGGGACTATCACCGCTGAGTCTGGGAAGGGTGAAAGAAGCTATTTAGAGGTTTCTTTGTTGCTGGGGCAGCCCACCAGGCCTCGTCTGCACTGGCTTCAGGAGCAGCTGTGAAGAGGGCGTGGCTGTGGTCAGGCAGGCCTGCTCTCTGCTGACCTGCTCAAAGCCCCGTCCCAACAGAAACTCAATCCCTTCTTCCCAGACCTGTTTTCCTTTCTGGGGTTCTCTCCAGGTGGCTCATGTTGGGAAATGTTTATCTGTCCAAGCTGTGAGGAGTGGAGCGAGGAGGCGATTCTATCTCGTTGTCGTGAGATAAGCTCGCATTTTTTGACAGTGTGGCGTGGGAGGGCTTGTAGGGTGGTGTGTGTGTGTTGTGTGTTAATAGGAGTGGGTTGGAGTGGGGTGGGGTGCAGTTGGGAGTGTCTAGACCTTTAATCACAACAATTTAAAAAAAAAAAGTTCTAGCATTCTAAATGGTTCAACACTAACATACCTTGGATTGTCTTAAGGTTTGCAAGTGATTAAAGGCTCAAGTTGCTTAGAAGAACACCAAGATAGGAAGCGTGTCATGTAACCTGGTCTGCACTAACTTACAGAATATTTACTATGTGGACCAACTTGTACTGGGCACCTGAAATTGAACTGTGTGTGGAAACAAAAGTCTCCATTGATAGAAGTAGGAATCTGCTGCGTGACTTTCAGAGCCAACACCCCAGCTTCAAGGACCATCCTGACTGCCAACTGCTCCCACTTCCTTGGGCAAACTTTGATCCTAGAACAGAAGAGGAGGAAACGCTTCTTGGGTGGGAACAATCATCTCTCCAGCCGAGTGTGTGCTGAGTGCACATGACACCCCGTCTCATCTGCCAGGACGCGGGCTCGCAGAGAGGGTCTGTGTTACTGACACGGAAACTGGTCTGTAGGAGGGTTAATCCCCTCATTTGAGGTGCCACAGGGAGCAAACCTCCGGGCAGGATTCAGACCCAGAGGTGCCTGACTCCAGAGCCTGTCCTCCAAGCAGACATATCCGCACAGGTCATGTTTACTGCTCATGCACCCAGATTTTGCCCTTATTTTTTCAACCACCTGGCTCCTCAGGTGGACAGCTTTCCCCTTCAGGCCCCAATGCCAGGGCCTCCTCTTCTACTGAGGGGGACCCGCTGCTGTTTTATTGTAGGGTGACTCGTGCTCATGGGGTTCCTCTTCTGGGCCAGGGTTTTCCTTTTCTGTCCTAGGTCTACGTCTTATTTCCTAAGTCTTTATCTGCCCACCACATCAAAGGCAGTATCATGTGGTAAGTTACCGGCCTCACCCAGGTTCAAGTCTGACTCTGCCATTCAGTAGCTCCGTGACTCGAGTAAGTTATTTGACCTCAGTGAACCACAGGATGGGGGTAGTAATACCTACTTCCAGGATTATTCATTTAACCTACAGACATTTAATCTACAACGTGCCCGATCCTGAAGTTAAAGAGTTGGAAGGTCTAAATGAAATTATACACGTGGAGTGCTTGGCACAGGAACAGGGGACAGGCGAAGGCTCAATCATGAAGAGGAGGCGTAAATGGTGGCCCACAAAGCTACTCTAAGAACCATCCCTGGGCAGGGGCAGGGGAGGGAGAGCTTCCCTGGAGAGGCCACTCCTGGAGTGATTGTGCAAAATCAGGGCCCTTTTCCCCTGGCTGAAGTCAGCCCCTGGTTGCAATAGTAACCATAGCCAGCATTTCTCGAACATTTGACATGTACCTTAGGCGTATGAATTCATGTATGTCTTAAGCACCCCCCAAGTTGGTTTAATTATGTCCTTCACATAATAAAACAACCTGCCTGAGACCCCACAGCCTATGAATGGAACCAGCTACTGTGACGCCAAAGCCAGGTGGTCACGGCTCTTCTAAACACCCCGCACTGGACGGCTTCTGATTTCTGCATCTCAGGCTGGGCTAGTCAGGCCCGAGCAGCTCCACAGACACACGCAGGCAGGGGGGTGGTTAGAAAGCCTGTGCTGACCCCGGAGCTGGGTTTGGGGACCACGTGTCCCCCCCCGTCCTTCGCAGGCAGGGGGTGGTTAGAAAGCCTGTGCTGACCCCGGAGCGGGGTTTGGGGACCACGTGTCCCCCCCGTCCTTCGCAGGCAGGGGGTGGTTAGAAAGCCTGTGTTGACCCCGGAGCTGGGTTTGGGGACCACGTGTTCCTCCGTCCTTCTCAGGGGTGCTTCTCTGGTTCCCACCCATGCTACACCTTTCCAGCTGTGTTCAAACCAGCTCATCCTGAAGAGCAGCCCTGGGGCTTTGGGGAGTGGAGGAGCTGGCTGGGGCAGCCTGTTGGGAGGCGGGGCTCCCACTCTTGCTGCAAAGCTAAGGCCTTCTGTCAGGCTCTCCTGCCTCACCCCCAATCTGCCTAGCACCCCCAGTCTGCGCTGCCCCTGTGGGATTTGCCTTCAGCCCAGCACTCACAGCCTGTGCCTGGGACAGGGCCGCGTGCTCAGAATCTGCTGTAATGTCCCGCCGCCTCCATCTGGAAGGCCTTCATCGTATTTGAACAAGGGTCCCTTCTATGTCTGGAGGGAAGCTACTTCACACGGCTGACGGCCGGCTTTCTGCAGTTCTGCTTGCTCGTCTGGTCCTAGCTGTGGACAGCGGTTCCATGTTTCTGTGCTCTGAGTCTCCCAAAGCCCCGTGTGGATTCGGGGTGACTGACTGACCAGTCCTTCTGTTGGTTCCCTGTTCTTTCTCGACCTGCTTTGTCTGTTGGCACTTGCTCTTTTTCCTTTCGTGGAGTTCGTCTGGGCCCTGTGATCATTCTGGATGCCCCCAGCTGCGCTCCAGGTGGCCAGGCACAAGGGCTGTACAGGTGCTTCTTCCAGCAGCAGCCAGAGCGCCCTGAACGGTCGACGCCAGTCACTGCTTGGGCCCTTGCGCACCACACGCCTCGCAATTGAGAGCCGGCAAGGCCCCAGGACACAGTTTTGTTAAATCTATAGTCTGTAATGAGGTCATAACTTCCGAGCCTGAAGGTCCCTCAGAGATGATTCAGTCCAATTTCATTATTTTTACAAAATGATTAAGAGACTTCATCATCATTAGAGAAGCAGTGAGCAGGGACCTGAAACTCTACTCTTTGACCTCAAAGTCCATTCTCTGTCCTAAGACACTGATTCCTGAATTTGCTGGAGGGGAATTTCAGTTACTGCTGAATGATATTGCTGGACCCTTAGAATGTGCATTTGTAATTTGGTAACTTATAATTATTTTGTCACCTATTTTCTCTTATTCTTATGTAATGGGGGGGGGGGAGAAAAAAAACAAAAAACTTGGGAGCACATGTTTAAGCTAAGTCCCGATGTTGAAATTGTGGGTTGAATACAGGAGAGCTGCGTAAGGGGCTCATTTTCTACTCAGTGGCATCCTCACCTGCGCTGTTCACGTTCATTTTGTCTTTGGCCTGTTGACCTACTTAACTAAAAGTTTCCAACAGTCAGGTGGATTGATCTTACCTGTTCAGAGACAAGGAGCAGATCAGCCTTTGTCCCAAAATAGCCAGGCCAACGCTGGTACTGGCAACCTGCAGGCAAGACACACGGACATTACCAAGTGGCTCATCCTTGGGCCCACACCAAGTCCTACGGTGGAAACATGGCATGCTCCACTTTCCCTTTCTGTCTGAGAGACATTAGGAAGAAAGAGCTCTGCAGAGACTGTTTTTTCAGGTAGGGGAGTCACTGTAGACATTTTGTTGAGGCTCTCCATGAAATCATTTAAAAAATTTCTGGGCTCTCGCTGGTGGCACAGTGGGTTAAAGCGCTGCATTACGAAGTTCTCTGAAGCCACCGCAGCATGAGTTCGATCCCCGCCCAGGGAGCTGACCCACATGGCGCAGCAGACCTCTCCTCTTCTGGCCCACTCGCTGCTCCCTTCAGCAGTGTACTTCGTCAGTCCACCTGTTCTGCTCCCCACTCTGTCTCTTACTGCCCCCGCACCTCTGGCCTGTACCCCAGTTCTGTAAGCGTAAATAAATAAAACTGAAAACATATTTTTTCCCTCCAACTCTCTTCTCCATGTCCGCTCTCTCTGACAGCTTGCTAATGTTTGTGGATTTACTACCTTTCTCTTGGATTGCATTTGGTCTTCACCTGCTCAAACAAACTGGAATTTCACCTTGACTTACTTCAAAGAGAAAAAGGAACTCAGCCATCAGTGTAACTGAAGCAGCAGCAAGGAAACACAGGAAGCGAGAAAGGTGGGAGGAGAGCTCTTTTCCAAGGACTCTGGCCTCCCGCACCTCCCGCAGCCCTCACTCCTAATGGATGCGACACCCCCCAACACTGTGGTCAATGCAGAGACTGGGTGCTATGCACCGCTGCCCCCTGCCCCTGAACACTTACGAAGTCCATGGAAACGATGGTTTCCGCGGTAGAGTTCTCGAACTTGGTGAGCAGCATGATGGAGGCAGGGATGTCCAGGGTGAAGTTACCCGGCAGCAGGTTGATGACAGGGGGCTTAGTGGCCATGATCCGTACCATGAAGGGCTGGGACAGGATGTAGATCTCTGCAATCTGCCTCATTCGGGGGAAGAAGCAGAACCAGGGGCATGAGGGCAATCACAAATCTGGGGTGGCTTGTGGTGGTGAAAGCTTAAATCATGCATTTAGAATACAAAAAAAATCTTTTATCAACAATAACGACACTAACACCTGGAAAACCTAATAAGCACAGATGACGTTTTCTGAACACATTCAACACGCCAGGTTCCCCGCCAGGGCTTTCCTTTGGGTCTCGGTTAACCTGTACAAGAGTCCTGTTTCACAACTGCAGGGAGTGAGTCTTACAGAGCGTCATTTTCTCCAGGTTCCCTGTGAGTACCTGGTAGAACTGGGACCCAGCCCTGACTCCAGAGCCTCTCTCTAGAACCAGGATGCAGACTGCGCATCTCTCTGTCCTCAAGGCCAAGCCTGAGGCTTTAAGTCTCACCATGGACACAAACTGGACATATTCCTTCAGTTCCCACCTACACTGATGATTTCAAGTAGATGGAGCCTTACAGAAGGAACCAAGGGCTTATTTTGTGAGCATATGCTGCCTTCATAACTGGGTCAGTAAATGCTTGTGGATATTTTTTAAAAATAGTTTGAGGATGGGAAGTTGGACTTAGACCCAGTCTAAAAAGGAACAAAAAGAACCCATGTGTCTCCCAGAAGTAATTGCATCAGCACCAAACGCACTATTAAGGACTCAAAAGTCTAAAGTACTCACCCGGGAGAGCAGGTTGCCGACGCCTTGAGAATTCTGAACCAAATGTTTAGAAATCTGGAAAATCAAGGCCATCATGTCACTGTCAAGTTTTCACCTGGGTTGTCTTTTCAGGAAAAGCCTCGCATTCCTTACAATTTGTGTGAATCATCTTGCACCAAAAGAGCCTTTGTGCTGGAAGCAACCTATCATTTTTATAACTCAACCACAGGGAATCTGAGGCCCAGAGAAGTACAGCGACTGGGCCCAGTTCACAGAAGAAGGCGAGTGACCTTTTGATCTTGGGAACGTGGTGTGTATTATCTGCATTTGACCCTTGTGTAAATGTCCTAAGGTCAGTAAGTCTTGCCAGTAAGTCTTGTCACTGCCTCATTTTCAGAGATTATCAAGCCATAGGGTGCTTAGGTAATCCTCTTCACTGATGAATGGTTTCAAGTCATTTTCAAGCTAGATATATCTGATTCTTAGCATTATATCATACCTGGTGAGGTCACACTTAACATTTGGAACATTTGATGCATAATTACTTGTATAATTAAGGCCCATAAGATGAAAAGATTCACACGGGATGTGTAATAAAAGTTGCTGGTTGACTGGCTAAGCGTATTCTCATTATAAAAGGGAGGAGCATGGCCAAAGAATCAATGAGTGTCTGTACTATTAGTGGTCACTGAAGAGAAGTCAGTTGCAAGTACCAACAGGTGAAATCTTGATGATGGCATAAAACAACGAATAAGGCAGTGTTGATTAATAGGCGGCACAGAGGCATCCTGTTCTGTGCTAGGCACTGGTCTGAATGCCATACATGTATTTAAGCCTCCTTAGCACCCATAACAACCCTGTGAGCACGAGACTATTATTTTTCTCTCCATTTTCCAAAGACTGGCCCAGAGAAGTCAATCAAATTGCAAATGTCCAAGGTCACAAGTAATAGGTGGTGGAAGGGGATCTGGCATGAGCTAAGATCAGTGAGAGCTGTGGCTGCATTTTAGGGAAGGGAAATGCAGCCCCCCAACATTCTTACAGGGCTCCTTCACTCACTGTCTTGCTAGGGGTGTCATCTAAAGGTGCAGGAGAAGAAACATGACGTAGAAACCCCATGGTGAGACTCTCCTAAGTCAATGAAACGTGGCCGTCACCATCCTGAACACTACTCACCTCTTCGGTGGACAGAGTGACATTGAAAGCCCCAGCAGCAAAATGAGCGAAGGAAGCAGATTTCAGGAAATACTCGGAGATTCCGATGTAGAGCATTGAGTCACTGCGCGTGGGGAGCTCGAAGGGAACTGGTGAGAAAGGGGGGTCGGCAAGGTCTTCCAGGGGGTAGAAAACGCCCTGTGGGGAAAGAGAGAGAGACCAATGCCTTAGCTGAGACAGCAACTTGCAGAACCAAGGAAGGTGGGTCTGCTCGAGTCAGAGTAAGAAACATTCTAGAAACTCAGTTGGGATTTAAAAATGAGGCCCTCTGACTCGTTGACTAGTGAATGCTTCAAAGTGGTGCTGAATCCTGGGTGTGTCTACACGGTGAAAAGTTCCTCCTCAGCCCTTTCTTCAGAGAAAGGAAGGCAGACACATTTCACTGGGGGGTGTGGCTAACTCTGCAGGACCTCAAGTATACCTGTCCGCCCTGGCTGAAGTTGTGCATGGGTGAGCACACTCCCCAGTAAGGCCAACAAGCAAGCCAGCAGAGCACAGTGCACTCAGTCCTGCAAATGGCTGCAGCCCGCTACCTTGTTTTTAGCAGAAACTGCAAGAAGCTTCAGGCCCGGTACAAACATGCACCTCATCCCCGCGTCGGGTACACTTCCTGTTTTTCTCCACGTACAAGGCTTGTCAAACCCTACATATACTCGTGGGTCTTCCTGGACTCCAGACTCCTGTTTCAGCTTTTTGCAGCTACGAGTCTCCTATGTTGGGAGTTAGTTAGGGAGACCCTCGAGCCCCTCGGTGACTCAAAGGACCCAGGACTCTAAAGGGTTGATAGCAGTTACTGTGGCAGTGCTGACACTACCTCATTCTACAGGGTGTTGTTATGAACTGGAGTCTTGCCTACATTTAACTGATTTGAAGGACTCTGAGTGATGGAAACAGAAGCCAATATGCATCTTAAAAAATGATGTTAGCTTTCAGGCAAAACTAGGCTTCGTTAATTTTTTTCCAGATTTCACAAATTCCATTTCCATGTCCTAATGACCCTGACAGAGGTCATTAGCCCGCAATTAAATGGACTAACCTCAGAGTAAGGAATGGAGCACTCAATAAGGGGAATTACTGATATCTGAAGGTCCAGGAAGTTCAGACCACTCCACTCACTGCCTCTTAGAGTCCAACCTACAGCCAAAGGCAGAGACGTCGTGATATTTAGCTGTAGAAGGAAGAGGCATACTGTGCAGTCCAAATGATCATTTCCCAATCAAGAGGATGTTCAATCCTTTGAAAGAGCATGCGCATGAGGGGACAGCTTGCAAGGAAACTAAATGATTGGAAGAGCGTGTAGTTAAGATTTCCTCCTCCCATAATACTCCACCCTGAATCCTGACTATCGCTAACCAGAATGAAGACACTGGTCATGATGACGTTACCTTCAAGTTCAGGTCAATGTGATTCTCAGTAACTTCTGGAGAACTGATTAGGGAATAGTCCAGCACAGTATAGTTGTCAATCTTGGTTAAAACTATATAACAACAACAACAAAAAAAGATGAAAATTTACAATCATCAAAGGCTTAGTGTAACATGACTAATGTCCCAGGACAGTATACACTTTACATCTCTGTTGTGTAAAATAACAACTACTCTATTTCTTAATACATGCCCACTTTTCAAAACCCAGGAGAGGTAATACATTAAAAGAAGCATCCTTCTTAATCACATTACACTGGGATAAACACATTTCAAAATCAGGTAACATTTTGGTATGTCCTTTTGATACATCCACCCCCAATGCATATGTGCTTCTTATTTTAAAAGGAAAGTTAGACAAACAAAAGTCACTTATCAATTTTAACACATATGGGACTGGTACACTGAGAGAAGACTTTCAGGTTTTTTTTTTCCCCCTCAAATTTCATTGATTTGCCAATTGTTTCCACGGCTCTGTAATATCGGTGGCACAACTTCAGAGCTCAACACCAGCACACGCCCCACTCACCCTCCCCTCCGGCTTCCCGTCACCCCTCCCCTCAGGCGGCCCCTGTTTTTCATAGTCTGCACGTATTTTTGTTGAGTTTTGCCAACAGATGTTCTCTATACTCTGCAAATGAGGGGGAAACCACCCTCAAATTCTATGGTGCAGCTTCCCACGGAGCTGGAACTTCACAAGGACTATGGATATTGTTGCAACTGGAACTATTTTTTTTAAAGGAATGTTGAGAGAACTCTTTAAACCAGGGAGGCCAGGGACGCTCAGGCACTGCTCTACCTTCAGGTCATTCCATTACCACTTTCAGAGCAAAGCAGAAGGCCAGCGGGCAGGGGGAAGCAGTGGGTCTCAGGAAGCAGGGATTTCGGGTTGAGTCAGGCTGCAAGTTCAGGGCTACAAGGGTAGGGGGCGCAGCGTGCAGGGTGAATAACATCCGGGTCATCCGGGTCGCGGCTTTCCGCTTTGACATCTGTATGCACTACATTGAGTTCTCACCGGGCTGGTTTCTGTGCCCACCTCCCCCGGCCATGGCCCCCTTTATTCATTTTGCCTGCGCCACAGTGGCTCCCTTCCCTTCTGGTAACCAGCATTCTGTCGTCGGAATCTAAGAGTTGGCTCTTCTTTCTTTTGTTTGTTCGTCTGCTTTGCTTTTTTATGTTTCACGTAGGCGTGAAATCATATGGTATTTGTGCATTCCTGACTAGTGTGAACAGACGGAAACCGGAGGCAGACTCAGATCATGCAAATCTTGCCCAGTGCTCTTGAAAGGTTTCCATCTCGGTTCAGTACCTGCCTTCACAGAGCCCTGCACACCCCAAAGACCTGACCAGTGCTTCCCTCCCCTCTGACCTCATCTGCTACTCTCTCCCCCATGCCTCTGAGGTGTGCCCTCCTCACAGTCCCCCCAACCACCAGCATGTTCCTGCCTCGGCCCTGGAGCTACGGTTTTCTTTACCTGGAACACAGATGGAGGAAAGGCTCACTCCGCACAGCCCTCTATTTCCTTAGGGTTCTTACTCTGAGGCCACTTAAATCCCCACCTACTCAGCGGATTTACTGGAAACTTCCTCCAGCTCCTTTCCTGCTTTATTTTTCTTCTTGCCACTCATCACCAGGATGCCATAGATTTTACTAATTATCTCTTGCTTGCTGTCTGTCTCCTCCCACTAGTCTCACAAGGACAGGGATTTCTGTCCCTGAGGCTTCCTGCTGCATCTCCAGTGCCAAGAACAGCGCCCAGCCTATTACAGGTGCCAGTACACCATCGTGGACGAATGGAAGGGATGCAGGGAGATACACCCACAAATATCACGGGAGCACAGAGGGCAACATCTGGGGAGCAGGCTTTCTTGGAAGAGATTTACTTGAGCTGAATCTTACAAGATAAAGAGAAGGATCAGGACAGGGGGTGAGCCAGAGGGTAGGGAGTGGAAGGAGTTGCATCTCTCAGGGCCCTTGAATGCTGCTGGCAAGGACATAGGTATGGAATACTACTCACTAGATGGCTGGAGGGAAGAGGAAGCTCTCGCGGGCAGCAAGGACAGCATGAGCAAGGCCAGAGAAGTGGTTTGACTGGGGAAGCAAAGATGAAGCCAAGAGAGGCCGATAGGAGCCAGAAGGGCGGGATCATCCACTTGGACTTGAACCTGAAGACAGTGCGGCAGTCACTGGTAAGAACCAGTGGGAGTAACCCAGATGGCTGGCTTTCGTCATCTGCAGAGGGTGGACTCAGTGCCAGGGCTGGAAGTTAGAGTGGCAGGGAGATTGACCCTGGTTTGCATCTCGCCCCCGGAGCCACCCTCCTGCAGGGGCCATGGAGGGGCACGGAGGGCCTGCCCCACACAGGCCCTGTCCTCCCACACACCTTCCTGCAGGTCTTGCATGCGGAGTGTAACAGATGGAGCAGAGCTAGCCTGCCTGGACAAGCGACCTGAGCACGCCAGGGCTGAAGGTGGGACGCCAACCACCCAGGGGAGATGGCGCAAGGACTCACCCTCCAGCATGCTGAGGTTGGTTTTCAGAGCTTCTACCTCATTTGTGATGATGGGACAGAGCTGGCCGTGAAAGGAATTAAGAGAAAACACAAATCGTCATTTATACTGGAAACATCCACTTATGGGTGGAGACCCTGTCAGCAAAGGCCTCTGGCGGGAAGCTGCTCTCTCGCTCGGCGAGACTTTCCTCTCCACTGGTTGCTGCCCAAAGGCCCCACGTTACACTGACCTGGATCGCAGGTCCCTGAGGGCTGCTAAATGTGGGAGCCACTGGGATGACACCCATTTGGTGCCATAAAGAGCGAGCCCCTGGCTTTCCTTTCTGCGGCATGACAGGACAGGTGCCCGGTCTGGGTGAACCTGCTGAGCCTCCTGAGTGCTGCCCTCTCCCTCCCCCTCCC